TATTAGAGTTTTGTTTTCATATTGTAAAGACAGTGTGTCTTAGTATGATTTTTAGTTGATTCATGTTGAGACACTTTCATTATTTCAGATATCAAATGTATTTCAGTTAAGACATGATTTTCATTTATGAGATATCTCTTTCTATATCATGTCTATTGTTTTTATTTCCTTATTTTTCATGTTTTTTACTTACATTTATATTTGATTTCATTAGAGGATGTTATTGTGATTGGTGAAATGTGTTATTGCATGGTGTGGGTGCATGGCAGGTTTGATATCTCTGGGTTTACCTTGGACTGCAGCCATATATGAAAACATGGGCGTCACAAAAGGTGAATGTATCTGTCACAAAAATACAAGAAGAAGATTATAATGAAGATGAAGTCTCTTTCTTTAAATCAACAAGTGTAGATGAGAATGCGGTCTTGGGAAGGAGAAGGTGAAGGCTGTTGGGATGAGATCTCCTTCGTCGCTGACGATAACGTCACTGTTTAGCATGTACTTTAGGTAAGACAGACAATTGGCCTAACAGACATCTAAATAGATTAGATCTTTGTCGTAGTGTTGTGACTATGTTCATAATATTTATAGATCAGAGAGACTACGTAGGGGGAAGATCGCGAAAGAGCTAAGAGCAGTGATAGATTTGTTGGGGGCTGGGAACAAGAGCAAAACCAAAACCCTACTTTCCCCTTTTTTTCTGAGCGCTTGTGTACGAGAGAAAAAAGCCATATTTTTCTCCGTAATCAGAATGTGAGGGGCGAAAAATTTTCAACTAGAAAATCCAAGTTGGCACTGTAATTTTCTCCCACTTTCTTTTTTGTTTTTGACAAACCAAACAGCCAATTGAGGGGGAAAACATGAAAAATTTTCCCAATCAGTTTTCTGGTGGGCTTTTTCTGCTATTTTTTGGACCAACCAAACAACCCCTAATTGTATTTTATTTTTAATTTTGGGTTGGTTGTAATTCATTACAGATATAAGTCCATGGTGGTGATATGGTAAGAGAGTGTGTGATGAGTATGAGGTGTGGATGCTCATTTAGCAAAATGAGCTACTAAGAGGTAGATTAGTGAGACTTACACTTTTTGATATGATAAATAGGGTGAGCCTCACCACGTGATTATGTCTTGGTAGCTCATTTTACTATACTAGTTTTTACACACGTGCAATGCACATGATTTAATACTATGATTAAGTATTTTGGTAATTTGTGCTCATTTTTTTCTTTAAACTCTTACATCCCGATTATTTTTTTATGTTTATTTAAATGGGATGCACCCAATTTAAATTTTCATGTTGATATTTGAATTGACAAAAAACAAATATAATTTAAAAATAATTTGAATTTTCATATTATTTTTGACCGATATGAAACTAAGCTTTATTTGAGAAAGTATAGCATTGCAAAGTAAAAAAATATTAAAATAGTGTTATACAAGGAAGGTGAATATTTAAAACCAATATAGCAAAATGATTGATTTAAAGTATGTTAAAATGATGCAAAAGAGAATATGAAGTTTATTCCTAATCATTGATAGACTTCATAAAAAAAATATAAATTAAAGAACTTCATAAAAAAAATATAAATTAAAGATTAATGCTAACTCTAGTATACTTTTATATGATAAAAACATCTACATAATAATATAAAAGTATTGAAAAAAAATTCTTGAAACTCCCTTCTAAAGATTCCTAATTTCACTCAAAATAATTAAACTATTCTATAAAATATTCATAAAATATTGTTTTTATTTCTTCTATTTTATTTTTTATTGAGTTAAGATCAATCCTTCTTCAGGTTTATCATTTATCATTTTTCGGACAATTCTAGAGTATTGTCTTCATCATCTACATCAATTGTGACATCAGGCTAATTTTGTATTTTTTATGCTATTATCTTTCCTGGGCTCGTTAATTTTTTATCATCTCATTTAACTTTACAAAGAAGTCAAATGTACTTATGATGTTTAACACAAACTGCTCAAAATATAGACTTCGATTTTTTTTCTATTTCAATGAGAATAAATATTAATTTCATATATATAAAATTCTTTGTGTTCCTAATTTATTACTTAAATAAATTAGAAGCTATCTCTTTATTTTCCTCTAAAATAAATTCTTCTGATGTGCATCCAATAAGAATTTTAGTTATTTTAATAATATTACCTTTGCTCTATTCCTGTTATTTTCCATAAAGATCTAAAATAAATACCTGCATTATTCATTACCAATTTCTCTTATGTCTTCCATGGAGATTTTTTCTTTGATTAGGATAAAGTTATTTAATTATTTTTTTAATGTAACTCATTCAGTGCTTTATTAATAGATATGTCTTATGTTAAATTCAAGTAATTCATTGACGTTTTCTGAATTTTAGATTTATTTCCATCACTTTTCCATTTGCAATGGAAATAACTCAATTCTTTTAAAGTTATCTCTAAATATTCTAATAGTTTCTCCATATGTAATTCCTTGTATTCTTTTACCCTATAAATATTATTAACATCAAAGATTAAAGTTTCTAAATTAAAATCAATTAATACTAAGGTATAATATTATAGTGTTTTATCATTTCTATGGATTTAAACATCTATCAATTAATATTACGAATGTATTTTGGCTACCCCAACTTATTACTAAAATTATATGAAATTACTTTAATTTATATAGTGCCTAATTTTTAATCTATAATATTTTTAAAAATTTTATCCATTAAACGGATGTTTTTAATCAATTCTTATTGTTTTTGTTTACCAGTATCAACTTAGAGTATTCTTAGATGCTAAAAATGGATTAAAATCAATTAATGCTAAGGTATAATATTATAGTGTTTTATCATTTCTATGGATTTAAACATCTATCAATTAATGTTACGAATGTATTTTGGCTACCCCAACTTATTACTAAAATTATATGAAATTACTTTAATTTATATAGTGCCGATAATTTTTAATCTATAATATTTTTAAAAATTTTATCCATTAACCGGATGTTTTTAATCAATTCTTATTGTTTTTGTTTACCAGTATCAACTTAGACTATTCTTAGATGCTGAAAATGGATAGTAAATCCCTAAATTAGAAATTTTAATATATATATATATGAAAAATACCAAACAATTACACTTTTCTTTGCCAAGTTTTAAAATTTTAGCTCATTTTTGTGGTTTTGAACTTTGAGGGTGTGATTTATAATTTTTAAAATTTTGAAAGAGTTTTTAAAAAAAATTACTTTTAAGTTTGGTAGTTGTAAATTCTATGTTTCATGTGTTGGTGGTAATTTTTTAAATGTTAGTATATTTTTTGTAACTCTAAAATTTTGAGGGTATCTTTTGTAATTATTAAAACTATAGATTAATTTTTAAAAATATTAAATTTCAGCGGTCTACCAATCGATAAATTTGATGTGTGCTAGTTAAAAATTTTAAAAATTTAGAGTTTTTTTTTACGATTTTTAAATTTTGAAGGAGTTTTTTAAAAAATTTGAGGCGAATTTTGGCAAATTTTAATTTTTAGGTGTCTAAGAGTAATATCTTGAATTCATCTTATTTTATTTATAAATTTTAGAATTTTAGGGTGGCTTTTTATAATTTAAACTTTTGAAGGTGTTTTTATAATTTTTGAGATATTGAGGGTGTTAATTAAAAAATTTAAATTTAAATGTTAAAAATTTTAGGTGTATCATGGTAATCTCTTGAATTCATCTGTGTTGTTTGTAAGTTTTAAAATTTTAGAATTTTAATGTGTTTGTCTGTAATTTAAACTTTTGAGGGTGTTTCTATAATTTTTGAGACATTGAGGTGTTAACTGTAAATTTTAAATTCTTTGCAAACTGATGTTAATTTTTTAATTTCATGTTTTTTATTTTAAGTTTTGAGACATTTGGATGAGTTTTATAATTTTGAACTTTTCAGGGTCTTTTTTGCAATTTTAAAACTTTTTATGATTTTTTTGCAATACTTCATGTATTATAATATGTTATCTACTTGTAATTTCTTTATCTTAACAAACTAATATCATTTTTATGTTTTATATATTTTATTAATATTAGTTTTTTTAAATTGTTAAGCTAAACATGGTTCACATAGGATTAGGATCGATTATGATTAGGATAGATTAAGATATAAATAAAATATTTAAAATAGTGAAGAGTAATATTGACCATTGAAAATTAGAATTTGATTATAGATAAGATAGTTCAAACTATAAAAGGGTATATCTGTCTAAAAAAGATTTTCCGAACTCGTGCTTTTCAAGGGAGTATGTTGAGCCGTCATCTCATACTCATTTTTTCCTAAATAATAATTCAAACAACAAATTCAAAGTTGATTTTCTATAACAAATATTATGTGCAACTTTTATAGCTATATTAACATTTACTGCAATTGATTATTGCGATAAACCAAACAGTCAAAAGAATTCAGCTTGCAGCCATCCAAATGAAAAATAAGATAAAATTCTTGTCCAAAAAAAAAAAATTCAAAACAACATGTCTCTAGCTGCAAATTCTAATTGAGCAAATAGTAGCCACAAGCAGGATTGAATAAACACATCGAGATTGAAGTTCTATAAATTAAGAGAAACTTGTTAATGAAGAAATAACAAAAAAAAGTCAACCGCTTCAATGTGAAGATTGAAACATTTTTTATTACCATAAAACCGAAACAAAGAAATTCCTCTTAAATAATTATGCTAATAAACAGATCAAAATGGGTTCATTTGCAGAAGCACCCTATTAGATCCAACGACATTTACGCTCCCCGCGCGTACTACGAAAGCGAACCCGTCCACAGATCGGCTTTTTTAACCGCCCACCAAAAATAAATAAAATCGCCGATCTTTTCCCAGCCGTCGGCGATTATTATAGAGCTTGATGTCACCCCGCGTCAACTCTGGCTGGAGCCTAGCCAACTATGTCGACACATGTCTCCCTCTCGTTGGTCGAATACCATGTATATACTACGACACAACGAGAGCTCGCAAGCTCCCCCTTCTAACACTCTTTACTCGCAAGCTCCCCTTGCAACACTCTTTTCACTCTCTGTATCAAGTATCAACCAATACTTGAAGCAATTAGTAATAATTAATTTTCTTAATTCGAGACTAAGTATTCGAGCAAAAATTAATGGCGAGCGCGGAATTTGAGGCGACGGAGCTCAGACTGGGGTTGCCAGGTGGTGGAGGGGGTGGAGGTGGTGGTGGTGATGAAGGAGCGAAGAATTTGGGGAAGAGAGGGTTTGAGGAGACAATAGATTTGAAGCTGAAGCTTGAGACTACGACGGAGTCGAAGGCGGCAAGTGTAGGTGAAGCGGTGAAGAGGGCTCCGAGCCAGAAGAGTTCAGGGACTAATGGTGTTGTTAATGATCCTGCTAAGCCTTCAGCTCCCAAGTAAGTTTAGTTCTTTTTTTTTCCGCTTTTCTTTTTATTACTTTGTTAATTTTGTTTGCGTGTGTTCTATGTTTTTTTTTTCTAATGAGATTATATGTAGTTAAGGAATGTTGACTTGGTTTTTTATGTGTGCGTATTTTTTCTGTTAATAAATGTTATGAATTTTCTCCCACTTATTCAAAAAGATTGGCTAATTAGCTAGCAAACAATGGGGAATTCGAGAATGTTTTTATTTTTATTTATTTATTTTCATGTTATGGCCAAGGCCGTATTCTTATCGTAATTGAGTAACAACGTTCGTCCCTTTTTTTAATTAAATATTTAGGGATGAGTTAGTTTTTTTCAGAAGGAAGGAAATTTCTCTAAATATTGCAGAAGCCGAAATTCAAACTTATGTATTTTTCGTGAAGCTTTTATTGTTTTTCGCCCATAAAAAACTAAAAATTAATTATTTTTATACATTTTTCTTTCTTTTTAGTAACGTGTGTATATGTTTGTTTTTTTCTAGTTTAGAAAGAAGGGTGATAGCAAGGAAAACTTATTTTTATTTTCTCTTTTATTTATCAATCGATACAAAATTAAAGCTAAAAAACTTCATTTTTTATTATCCTATAAAAGAAATTCTATGTTGCCCAGGTTGAATAGTAAACTTTACCTTGTATAAATGTAAGTTTTCTTCAAAAAAAACGTTAATATCACTTCTCTGTAGAAATAGACAAAAAAAAACTGTATATAGTATAGTTTATTTGCTGAATTATAAGAAAAGGATAAGTTTAAAAAACCCATGAAAGAAAATGAAAATCTAAGTAAAAGTATATTAATTAATTTCTTGTGTAAATTTCCTATTATATATCCACAACGAAGGAAAGAACAAAAAAGCTACAATATATTAATTCGGGGGAAAAAAGTATAATAACAATTTGATATTCATTACATGCACATATAATGGTATAAACTATAAAAGAACATATTTAGCTATATACTTCAAAACATTATCTTATCTTACGGCGCCACAAGATGAAACGTCTATTAATTGAGTGTACATAATGATAGCTTATAAAGCACTTTTCAACTAAATCGTAAAATAGTTTTACTTAAAAAAACACATCCATGCAATTTCATCAAATATTAGACTTTTACTTTATTAAATAAAAAATGAATAATCTTTTCTTTAATGAATCTAAGTTGCTACACATTATTTTATTTTGGATAAACTGCAGATACATTTTTAATAGTATTTATCATATATCCATCAACTTGTATATAAAGATTTATCGGTACTCCTCAATTCATATAGAGCATCTCTCAAAAATGTCCATCTCAAGGGACATTAGAATTAATGAAGGAGTTTAGAAATGATAATTACTATTGAAGTTATAATTATAGATAAAAGTGTTACCTCCTATTTACAGTTTTATTTTGGAGAGAAAGAAAAGATTATTGAAATTGTATTTTGATTATGATCAGGGCACAAGTTGTGGGTTGGCCACCCATTCGATCTTTCCGAAAGAACATCATGACCGTCCAAACTGAGAACGGATCCAACGAGGAGTCCGGCACTCAGTCGGCCTTTGTTAAGGTGAGCATGGACGGCGCACCTTATCTCCGTAAGGTCGACCTCAAGATGTACCGCAGCTACCAAGAGCTCTACATGGCACTTGAGAAAATGTTTAGCTCCTTCACTATTGGTAAGCGATGGAATTAAGTAATGGCGTAGTTGGGTTGAACATATTATCACATGTATAAAATTCTGTACAATTTTGATGTCAATATGTTTTCCCGTTAGTTTTTAAACTCCTATGAGAATCACACAGATAGATCAGATTTAATAGAAAATAACACTATCATGGGAATAGATGATGAGTACAATAGAATAGAATATGAATGATAAGTAGTTTTTTAGCTTACTATCCCTATAGTTTCATTGTTGTAGATAGACCCCTAGGTTAACCCTCTTATAAATCACCAAATTTGCTGAGGAGCGATATCCGTTGAAGTTTCAGTAAGGATAAATTAGTCAAATTGACAGTACTAGCTAACTACTAAGGAGGTATATATGCTAATATGTAACCCTCGTTAACTGAGATGTGTTTTTTTTTTTTTTGGATAAAGAAGATGCAGGTTTAAATAACCGTCTTCGATTTTGTGAACGAAAACTGTAGTCCAATCTTAATAGAGTAATTTTAATCTTAATATAGTAATTTTAACCTCAGGTAATTATTGTAGGGCACACCTTAATGATTTTGAATTTGATACGAGTTAATAATAGCTAGTGTAAGTTCAACAGGCATGTACATAGACGGCACAAACATTTTTGTACATGTGCCTGTCAGAGCTTAATTTATGCGAATTGTATGGGCGCGCAGCTGTTCCACTCTGGTTTAGCGTCAGTTTATGTACGCCACTGAAGCATGGAGACATTATGTCATGCAATCATAATTAATATAGTGTCTGTACATTTGAATGCCTAGGATCAAGCTCAGCTATCTTATTGTATATAGATGTACTTTTTTTGTTTATTTTTGAGTGATGTGATTCTTATTGCTTGATTCTTATCTATTTAAATGGGTATGTAGTAGTTACATATGTACGTACCTAGTTGTAGATAAGTGAACGAGGTCTCTCACCAAGTGGATATAATTAGACTCTTATCAACATTATATTCCACATGATAAGTATAATACAAAATATTCATAAAATAAAATGCTAATTGAAATATTTTTTTAATTCTTACACAATGTTGTTATTTTGAGGAGACATGTAGTTGGTTGATAGATTTCTAAAATAGCCCTTTTTACATAATAATATATTAAAAGCTTAAGAAAATGGTGTAGGTCTTTTTTAATTTCTTTTCTTTAATTCAAGATGTAATTATTACTTTACAACTAGAAGATGCTCATAGCCAGTCGGTTATGACCTGATAATACGGGCATGTTTGGTTGGGTTGTTTTCGACTTGAAAGTTACTGTAGCTGTCCAGTTACAGTAGCTTTCACGTATTTATGTTGGTCTCTTATGCAAATAGAAGGTTGATGTGGCAGTAAAAATAATCTAACTGGTAGTCTTGGACCAATTCTCACCAAAATGAGCCATTTTGGGCACCAAAATGAGCCATTTTGGGTGGATTTTATTGTAGCTGTTGGCCCAATTGGACAACTGGTTTCCCATCTATAGTTAGACCTGTCCATCCGGGCCGGCCCGGCCCGAAAATCTGGGCCCGGGCCGGGCAAAACCGGGGCCCGGACCCAACCGGGCCGGGTTCCGGGCTGGCCCGGATTTTTTTTATTTTTTTTCAATTTTTTTTAGATTTTATTTAAATTTTAAATTATACAAAAAAGGACAAGAAAAATAATAAAAAATAATAATTTTATTAATCACTTAAAATAACATAAATTACAAATAAAAAATAATAAAAACAAATTTTTTATTAATAATTAATAAATCATTTACAAATTACAAGTACAAATTTATTTTGAAATTAATCGCATCACAATAGATAAGTAAATCCCAACTAGGTTGGCACCTACTCACCTATATCACTATCATTTGCAACTATTTCCAAAATAATTCTTTACAAATTTTAAGCTAAGGCCTAAGATATAAAAATTATAATTTATTCTTTATATCTATCTGCTAGTCCCAATTCTTCAAATTTATCTTCAATTCTAGCCATCCGATCGATGCCTTGCGTTCGCTTCTCGTACCTCCACCAATCTTGTAAGCACATCACCGCTTGTACAGTGTACGGATCTAAGCATGTCTTATGGTCGTCGATCAAACGTCCTGCTATGCTGAAGGCGGATTCCGAAGCTACCGTCGAAACATGCACTGTTAGTAAGTCACGAACCATGGTAGAAAGTATAGGATATGAAACTGATCCATATACTTTCCACCATTGTAAAATATCTAAAGCATTTCCTTGACATTTAACTAAAGAAGCAGATAAATATTCATCTATTTCAGAAACCTCCAATGATGACGATCCAAGTCCAGATCCACCAGTTAGCTCAGCTACCATTGCATACCAATCAAAACTTACATTTTTACCTCAGGATGAGCTCGAAGAAACCGAAGCTGTAGACTGTTGTGTAGCTACACCATGTCTAGCTGCATACTCATCATATAAGGTTTGAAAATAATTTCTAATAGCTAAATGATGAGTAATAGCAGTAAGGGTGGTTCCATCATCTAAGTCTATAATCTGATTACCATACAAGGATTGTAACAAACTTCGAAGGCCAATATCCTTCAAGCATGGATCAATAAGAACCCCTAAACCAAAAATATGAGGAATAGGCCTAAAGTACATATTAAATTTGCTCTCCATTTGAAAATCATAGGTCCAAAAGTATCATCCATACGATATTTCCCAAAAAATTTTTGAATATTTAAAATTTGTAAAGCAGCTAAACTAATGGTTGGATAATAACAGCCAGATAATAACATTGTAGCATCATAAAAAACTTGTAACATTTTATTTAAATTACATATAATTGTTCATTCATCTTCAGTTATTCCATAAGTGCTACCAGAACTAGAACTAGAAGCATAATAGTTTATAAAATCAGTTATAATGTCTTTATATTCTATTGCTACACTTAACATTGCATAGGTGGAATTCCACCTATGGTCAACATCTTTTGGAATTAGTCTGGGCTTTACATTTTTTCTTTTACAAAATTGTTTCCATCTTTTAAGTCTTTGTTCAGAAGCACTATGCATGTAAGCAACTGTTCTAACCTTTTCTATCATGGGTTTAATTTCAGTAAATGCACTTTGAACAATTAAATTTAAAATATGACAGATGCACCTAATATGAAAAAGATCACCATGACATGGCAATGATAAAGATGATCTGATAAAATCAACAGCTACATTGTTATTACTTGCATTATCTAGTGAAAGAGAAAATATTCTTTCTGAAATTTCTAATTTCATAAGTTCTTCAATTATTAAATTTGCAACATTAGCACCAGTATGTGACTCTTCTATTGCAATAAAAGAAACAACTCTTTTAAACATTTGCCAATTTTCATCAATCCAGTGTGCTGTGATACATAAATATCCAGTTTGTGCTCTAGATGTCCAAATATCAGAAGTTAAAGAAAATTTACAGTTTAAATTTTTAAAATAAGAAATTATTTTTTCTTGTTCTTGCTGATAATATTTTAAAATATCACGTTGACAGGTTTGACGAGAAATTTTTTTAAATGCAGGATAAAAACCATCTCTAAACATATCTTCAAATTCATCATCTTCTACTAATTTAAAAGGAAGGTTTTTAAGAATGATAAACCTGATTACGCATTTCCTGGCTCTGGCAGCGTCATAGTTCCAACTACCGAGACTACCAGAAGAGGAGGATTGAGAAATCATAGATTGTCGGATATCACCTTGAGGAGTCTGGCCTTTGTTGTGTTTATCTAAATGGCGTTTGAGGTGGTTGGTGCCGCTCTTATGATGAGCTTGAAAAATCTTGCCGCACAAAGCACACTTAGCCTTCTGGGTGAGGATCCTACCGTGTTCATCCTTGGTGACGTCGATCTTCTCGTAAAAATTCCACACATCGGATCTTGGCCGTTTAGGAGCTCTTGGTGCAGATTCGTCGCCACCGGATTCGGGATTAACTTCGGTAGGAGGACTGATAGTAGGAGGACTCATAGTAGGAGGACTCAATTCAGGATCGGGAGATATGTTTTGCTCTTCATAATCAGATCCGGAAGCCATTTGGGGATTGGATTAGAAAGTATAAATAAGAGAGTATAAGAGTATAAGAGAGAGTATAAGAGTATAAGAGAGAAGAGATGAGTTTTTGGTGTGAAGAAAACAAATGAAAACCCCCCTCTATTTATAGAACCAGCCCCCTAGGTAAATGACCAAAATAACCTCACAAAATAGCCGTTTTTTGACGGGCACCGGCCCGGGCCCGGGCCGGCGGGCTTTTTGGACAGGCCTAGCTATAGTAGCTTTCATGTAGTTTAGAAAATGAACCCAACTGGCCCTAAGTCATAATATGGTTCTTTTATACAAACACTTGTATCTTAATTAACTGAATTAATTGATTTACTAACCTTCTTTCTTTTTTCTATTACTTTTAATATGTAGGAAATTGTGGCTCTCAAGGAATGAATGGGAGAGATTTCATGAATGAGAGTAAGCTTATGGACCTCTTGAATGGTTCAGACTACGTTCCAACTTATGAGGACAAGGATGGAGATTGGATGCTCATTGGCGATGTACCTTGGGCGTAAGTTTCCTTTTTCTAATTATTACTTAATTTTCAAAAAAAAGGAAGAAATATTACGTTTAAGTCAAAAACCAATAATTTTTCTTTTCTTGATGCTTAAACAGAATGTTCGTTGAATCATGCAAACGTTTGAGGATCATGAAGGGTTCAGAAGCTATTGGACTGGGTAAGTATCTTTAAAATTTAGGGTTTACGGATAGATCATTATACTATAACCTCAACTGCAAATAGAATCCCTGAGTTCTATTGTTACAGAGAGACTCTGAGTGAACTTCTTTTGACTTTTCTATCCTCAGAGAAAGAAAAAATTGTTTCAATGATAAAAAGTCAAAATGTTTTACTATAGGGCCTATCTACGACAATAGAACTACAATGGGACCTATCATCAATTGGGCAATAGTACAGATGGTCTCCGCAATTTGATGATATTAAAGGGAGTCTATCCACAATTAAGCCTAAACTTTGATTAGATTTGGGTTTAATTTAGTTCATAGTTTAAAATTTTTGATTAAAATTTCTTTTTTTGTGTGATATTAGCTTCAAGGGCTGTGGAGAAATGCAAGAGGCGAAGCTAAGTAATTAAAGGAACCATATATAGCTTGCTTATTCAGGATCCTGGTCAAAAAAGTGTCAACATTGAGCTCGAGCCCGATCTGAATTGAGCATAGCATTTGATTATGTGCGCGTACGTATGTGTCATGTTTTGTTAGTTTACATATATATGTGCGTGAATACAAGTTGTTAGTGTAAAAGATATGAAATTATTATTATTATTATTATTATTATTATTATATATTTGGACAAAGACGCATTACTTATAAGACTTGTATGTATGCTAGACTGATTTTTGTCATGGTGTGCGTTTAATGACCTAATCTATGTGCCCTGTACATATTGAAATGGATCTGTACGTAGCATGAGATTCTTTTTCATGTGGTAGTTTGGGAGTCTTGTTGCTATTATTTTCTGGTCACCTGTCATTTTCTTTTTAAAATTTGATTGTCAAGTTGTGGAGGGAGCAAACCCTGTGCATAGTGATAGGGTGCATCTTTGTATCTCATTATGTGTCCATTAATAAATTCATGTTCGGTAGTCCGTGCACATATGTGCTATTGTGTATTGTCAACTAACAACAATTAACGAAAGGGAGGGTTACCTCATTGAATGAGCGTATTTTAGAATATTTTTTGGATTTCAAATTTTTTTGGTGAATAATTATACTAGTAGAAAAAGTAGAGCATTGGTGATGAGGTAATCCATCACCAATGCTAAGAAATCCATCATCAATGCACATTGGTGACGAGTTGTAGGGGTTGCCAATAAGTCCATCACCAATGTTCATTGAACATTGGTGATGGGAGCACCCGCCACCAATGTTCATTGGTGATGGGTTAGTACCTGTTATGGTGTTTTTAATCGTCAAAGTATGATCCTTTGCCAGCAACAGACATGTGACCCCCTACATGGACCACTCAAGTCGAATTGATAGTCAGGACCACCAAAAATCCCGACTTAGCCGACTCGCCGAGTCGACATCTCCTTAGATCGACTCGAATGACGGTACTCGTCGGTCCTTTTGTCAAAGACGATTCATTACGAGCCCACTCGACCAGTTATTCGACACATTGCAGGGTCGACTCGAAAGGCGTTACTTCTCAACATCCATCGCTATAAGCCAAAGGACGAATTCAACCTCGAAGCTCCCACGGTGACAGTGCGTTGGCGTCACATTAAATGCTTGGCTAGCGCCATCATTCCTCTACCCCTAATAGTCTTTATGACACATCGGACCACGTCAGCACCCCCAATCACTTCGTATTAAATATTAAGGTGAACTCTCCTCCACTCATCGACCGACACCTGTAAAGTAGGTGCTGACATAGCCACCATACCGAAATTACCATTCTACCCTTTTACCACAACTATAAATAGGAAAACTATTCCAAATACCAGGATAAGCAAGTAAGCAAGCAATCTCTCAGAATTCTTCTCTATTCCACTACACTTAAGAACTCACACAGTTCATCACTTTCCCACTCAAGTCCATCACTAACTTGATCGTCGGAAGAACAACGGGTGAATTAGTCCCCGTCCTCTTACGAGTTGCTATTTGTATAGGCAGAAGTAACTCAACTCAAAACCAGATATTCGGAGAGGTTAGCGGCCCCTAATCAAACTTCACCCCCATTACATTATCTGTGTGATTATTAACATCAAAAGTTTGGCGCCCACCGAGGGGTTTTTTTTTTCTTTTTCGAGCAAGTATGTCTAGTTCTGAGTATCGGGCTGATCACTCTCACCCTGGAGGACCACACCAGAGCTACGTTACTCAAGCTCAGCTTGAAGAAACGACTCAGAAGATCTCTCAATCCCTCCAACAGCAACTCGCTACCTTCATCAGCGAGCTCCTCAGCCAGTTTTCACAACCGCAGCAAGCTATTTCCGACGTCCCCCCGCCTTCTGAAGACCAGAGATCGGGAACTCACCCCCTTCTGGAGCATAGCAAATAGTCCTGCCTCGGAGTCCTAATGTTGTTGCCAAGTAGTGGAGGGATCGCGTCAAGTACGCGACCCCGCCGCCACATCTGTTGACTCACCCCAAGGAACCTCGCCGACGTCTCCTCCCTGATCCTGAAGTCACCGGTGAGAGTCCTGGCCCTGGTCACCGTGGGGATCTCACTAGGGGAGCAGTCTCTAAGACTCTCCCCCACCACTGTGCCTCTCTGGCCCCCTCTGCTACCATAGAGGCCTCTGGATACGATTGGGTGTACAGACCGATTGTAGAAGCTATCGGGGGGAACACTCCCCTTTCCGATGACCTCATGAACGCCCCATGTAAGAAGTTCAAGATTCCTCACGTGGAGAAGTATAAGGGTGAAGGAGACCCCTTCGGGCATGTCCAGAACTATTATCATGTAATGAGCATGCTCCAAGCATCGGAAGCAGTTATTTGCTGATGCTTCCCCATCATTCTGTCAGAGAGTACCAAGCTCTGGTGAAATGCCCTCAAGAAGAAGTCCATCAGTAGCTTCTAGTAACTCAGCCGGAAGTTCATACACCACTTCTTGCTGACACCAAACAGAAGCTACCCCCTCATGTGTTAATCTAGATGAGACAAGAGCACGGAGAGAGCCTTCGAGCCTACTTCAAGAGGTTCTAGGCGAAGAGGCTAGAGATTAATGATCGGAGGAGTGCGGTTGCTATGTCCGCTCTTGTGGTCGGCTTGCAGAACAACGAATTGGCCAACTCGCTTGCTATGAAGCTGGTCGCCAATTATGAATACCTGATGGCCAAAGCTCATGGATATATGGACATGGAGCATGCCCGAGCTTATAAGGTGGTAGCCAGGGCCACAAAAACCTCCACGGCCACGACCTCAGCAGGCAGCCGCACCAGCAGCTACCTACACTAGCGCCACTGCTCAGACGTCACCGAAACCTATCAGGCAGTACGGCGGTGGTGACGTCGACGACAGAGTTGGCAAGATCCCTCCACGAATAGTAGTTCTGGACCCGCGCCCCCGCCCCCTCGAGAGTTCATTCCGCACTACAAATCGGTTTGACCGAAGGGACCCGACGCCGAGGCCTGCTCTCACTATCCTCAACACCTCTCTCATAGAAGCTCTCACCATGATCCAAAAGGAGGGGCACCTCAATGAGCCCGCTCCCAAGATGAGGTCGGATCCACGGAGTCGAGATATCATGCAGTATTGCTGCTACCATAAAGATCACGACCACCTCACCAACAATTGTCGTATCCTAAAGAGAGACATCAAGGATCTGATTCAGATAGGATACCTAAAAAAGCTTGTCTCTCAGAGAGACCAGAGAGAAGCTGCCCCAACCAAGGTAGATAGGAGATCCTGCTCGCAGTCGTCGGAAGGTCATCCAACAATGCCCGGAAGAGGTATGCTAAGAGGGCGTTGCGAGTCGACTAGTGTGATAAGAGGTCGAGAGCGGAGGAGCCCATCTCTTTTGGAGACACCTGTTGGCCTCTTTGTTTTGATGATGTTTAACAAATAATTTACCACTAATGTTGTTTGTCTAGTACTTGTATATTTCTATTTATTATAGACAAATAATATGTTGGAGGTTGGATGGATTGCGCTATAACGATCATATCAAATGGAGGTTGGCGAATATAGTGGTTGAAGCAATGTAATTCAAGTTCAAGATCTAAGTTCAAGCTTCATCCGCAAGTGTACCAAGTCAAGCTTATGTGTGTTGGTACTTTAAGCTTAATATAATATGCACACACATTTTATTGGTTTCTTTGTATATATATATAGTTATATATATATATATACATAAGTTAAGTTTTAGTTTCTATGTATATTTAGTTATATATATACATATATGGTTTTGAGTTTTCAAGTTTTAATATGAAACAATTGAATATAATTAGAAAACATATTTTTGTTTCATATTTACATGCATATACATGATTTCATCAATATCAATTTTATTTAGTTCAATGAAATCATGTTTTAGTACATTATATGTGTATTTTGATAAAATGCTATATTCATTATTTATAGACTTCATAACAATAGTTTACATCTTTATTCAAGTCTATAAAATCATTTTGTATTGTTTCAAAACATGGTTAAGCTAAAATGTCAAAACTCATATGTTCATATTTTTATGTTTTGGACTATTTTGCAAAATAATGATATTTTTCATTTGGGGGGTCCTTTTTGAAAACCAGTTGTTGTAGCATGTTTATTATCATGTCTATAATCATTTTCCAAAGTTTTATATTTTTTAGAATTTATTTGATATTTTTAAATAGGATTTTAAACTTAGAAAACTGTTTCAAACCTATCTTTTTTCATATATCTGTTTGCGGTCGACCACCCTTGAGTCCAGAGACTCAAGATAGTTTTCAGAGGCTCGCGGTCGACTGCCCTTGAGTCCAGAGACTCAAGATAGTTTTTAGAGGCTCGCGGTCGACCGTGGTGGTCAACCGGATGAAGTCCAGAGAGTCTCGCGGTCGACCGTGACGGTCGACCGGCTGATGTCCAGAGCCGTATTTAGTCCCACGGTCGCCCGCCGATCGCCCAACGGCTATATTTGTACAGAATCAGATTTCTAATTCTTTGGGCTTTTTGGTCTTTTGTTTGGGGATTTAGCTGTTGTTTTCTCTTCCTATATAAACCCACAAACCCCCCACTACCAGAGTAACAATAAGAGTGTTTTAAACAAATTTAAGAAAGTTTTAAACAATGGTTTATGTTTGGTTTAAGTTTGTTTTAAAAGCTTTTAAGCAATTGAGAGTTTAATTTTGTGAAATCAATTTCACAAGAGCTAGAAGAGATCACCACTTGGTGTTTGAGCTTCAAATCATCTCTCTCTCTCACTCTTGTCATTTATTGGAGAAGTTTTCTAAACTCAATCTAGCTTTACTTTTATATTGATTGATTATCATTCTATTAAGCTAGTATTTATATTTGAGTTTAGTTGATTTAATTTCACTTATTGTTTACACACACCCACTTGAGCTTATTGTATTTTTATATATAGTATATTTGGGTTGGTGAGAGTTGTAACAATTGAGTGTGAGATTTCATTGAGTTCTTATCTATTGTAGAGAACAAATCATTTATTATATTGTGAGATTGTAAAATTTTTGGTTAGCTAGAAAACCGAGTGTGTAGTGGAGATCTCCTCGAGGTGAGGAGCAGAGACGTAGGTCGTGGGGACCGAACTCCGTGAATGATATTGTGAGGTGTAAACATTATTCGGGTGAGCATAGAAAACCCGGTTGTGATAGTGGATTTCTCCCCAGGAGTGGGGAGCGGAGACGTAGGACGGAAGGTCCGAACTCCGTGATCATATTGTGTGTTTGCATTGTTTATATTGCCCTATCACATTGTATCTTTTGTTTAGATTGTTTACCCTTGTGTTAATTTGTATATCCTTGCATATATTTCATCATATACCTCTTTGCTAGGATATATCT